ATTATAAAATATCATAATTTGAAAATCTATATTTGAAATTGCATCATTTATTCATTAATTATTCCGTCATGACATTTCTACCATAACCATATTATTTCCTTATATATATTTTCTTTTAAATTCCATAGTTTTTCTCGGATAAATTCCACATTTAAGCTGCAAATTTTTAATATTACTCGCACCGCGAAACGTTCGTAATGATCCTCAAACCATATAATGTATACAGCGAGCAATACCGCGATGACCACCAGTCGACGAATACGAAGTACAACCTGTATATAGAACGAAGTCCATCTACGTGGCTGTTATTGAAATGCAATGGCCATCTCGCCGAATCGATAGGACGTTTAGATGCACATATGTGCATATATGTATACCTTTCGCACACCCACGCAAACCGAGTCGAGTTCTCATAACACGCGGGACCTAGTTTCCGGCTGGACAGTGTCTCTCAAATTCTCGCTCGTAAACATTAATAGTAAAGCGAAAAACATTTCTTGCGCGAAGTCTCTATGATGATATCAACTCTGTCAGCACTCTTAAGAACAGGGTTTGAATCGTCGATTGCAGAAATAGCTTCAGAAGTATCGGCAAAACTACTTCTGTGTCATTTCTGTCTCTCTCTCTCTCTTCCACGTGCTTCAATACAATTAAATCAATAAAGCACTAATTTAGAAGATAAAGTAATATAGATTATACAATATAGATAAAACTCGACGTGGTCATTATTTTAAATTTATAGATTTTCACAATAATTTTCACAATAATTGACAAATAATGTGTTCACTGTAATACTCGAAACAAGATACTTAATTTATGTTACTGGCATTTTCACGACAGAATGCTAATGGCGCTACAAATTTCAAAATATTTTCAACAGCATTCGCGAGAGAATGGAATGTCCACGCTTGTGCGATTACGGCAGCTATATAATCCCTTAGTTAATTTTTTAACAAGCTACACATGAGGCTTTATAAAATTTTAGTGGCACTCGCATCGAAACCGCGGTGCGTTATCTCTGTCTGTGCTTTTGTGAGAAAAAAAAGCGCGATACGATCCGATCGCATTGCAAATAGATCGATACCTTTTGGTACAGGCTCTAGGATTTAATCAAAATTTAATCAGAATTTAATGGCACCGCTGAACTTCCACTTTGATCGCACACGTCAGCGTGACGAACCGACGATATTCAGTGAAATACGCAACCGTATGGGAATTCCACCATGGGGCATAAATTCTTCGTGACTGGCGGCGTCAAAAGAGAAATGGACATTGCGGATATCAATGGCGCGTACGCGATACTTTCGAAATGCATTTCTGCCCTTTCTATCGGGCGATCTCTGCGCGCGATTTTTCTGTCGCGATAAATGTGAAAGAGAGCCAACCGAAACATTTTTATTCATTTAAATCGAACCCCCCGGCGGAGAATTTTAAACTGTGGAGTTTAAACAGAATCGGAGAACAAGAATGTACCTCGCCCGAGACAAACTGCCAATCCATCGCGGCTTCTTATTTCATTCGCGATTCCGCGGCGTATAGCTATAGAGTCATTGTGTCGGAATCGTGCCAAGTGTAAAAGAAAGAAGGAATCGATTGCTGATCAAACGGTAATGCAATTCAATTGGCTCGGATAGAAAAGGAATACGAACGAATGAGAAAATTGATAGCTGTGTGTAATGCTTTAAAAGATGGAAAGGATAGTGAATTCGCGTACAAGAGCGTTTGTCCAACCGGAAAAGATATAAAGATAAGTGATATTACACGCGAACGAAAGTAAAATCTCACGATTCATTGTAGGACGATATCACGAGTAAACGCTAATGATGTTATTTTATTAATGGCGGAGATTGATTATATCGGGGCAGATATTACGAATAGACGTACATTTAAATAAAAGAGAAAAAGAAAACGGAAAAAGCCTGCATCCTGTATGTGGGTATTTCGCATTCCGGTAAAAGAGATTTCCTTCATCCTATTTTGAATCGCAAATGTATGCCGGGCGAGTTTTCTTTAAAGTGTAGATAGTACTTAATATCGAACCTCTGGTATCTCTCTTCTACTATTGATTCTTACATTTGTAATATTACGCGGTTTTGTTTTCGCATTTACAATTCTAATTCCAATAATATTTACTTGGCAAAGATCTCTCTAACATGTATTTTAATATAGGATTTTCTTATAGTTTATTAATGTAGAAATGTAAAATTTTTTACACAAACATTACGCTCTGCTGCAAACGAAGAGCTTTGTTCAAAATCTTGCTAAAAAAAATCTAAAAATACTTTCATTCTTTATTCTTACAGCATGCTTTTTGCGATAAGTATAGTCAAATATCGACTTAAACATTTGTAGACTTTCGATATTTGTACATTTATTCGTAACAATCATCCGGTTTCGCTGACTTAACATTAAATCTAGAGTGCAATTTCGAGGGGATGCTACAATTCTCCTTATCCGCCCTCGAAGATACTGGAAACCGTGCGCGAGAGTTTTATTCTCCGCTGACGAGAGCTTACGCGTTCGAATAACCGGTTAAAAATTCAAAGAACGGCTTTTCCCGTACGCTCACGTTTCCCCGCCGCACTCTCGCCCTTTTTCCACACTTTGATCGAAGCCGTTTGTTTCTTTTGCAACGAGCATATCCAATATTCAACTTTCAATCCAACTTGGCCGAACATTCAACTTGAACATCGATACTTTGCCGGAATCTCGACTTCATTATACAGCCGCGTCAATCGGCCAAGTACACTTAATGTTCTCGTTCCTATCAACAATAGTGCCGGTCCTTGCGTCAAATGGCAAAGTGATTCCAAATTTAACTTCAACTTGTGCAACTTGCACAATGACAGAGACGAGTCTCTCCTTATCCACCAAAGAAATCGTCAAAGATGTAGACATTTCGCTCTTTGACAAGAAAGCCTGCCTTTGTTCTGATTTCGATTATAGGAGGCAAAAAGGCCTTTTGCGTCATATTCTTAGCCTAATTTTGACTCGATCTTTCATGATTCTTCTTCACATTTTTGTAACGAGTGAGCCTAATGTACTATCATCAATGTATCCTCGTTTCTCAATATTTCTAAATTTAAATTCCTTTCTATTAACTAAAAGAAAACTACTAAAATAAAAGATAAATAAGATAGATAAATTGTGAAATTAAAAAGTATTAAAATAATAAACTAAAACATTCTAACAGTAGTGATTATTCTTATAATAATCTCATAATTGCGATTAATATTGAAGTAGTAAAAATTAAGAGGTAAGATTCTAGTATGGAATATTCCTTCTCTTAATGTATATATATATATATATATTTTTTTTTTGCTTACGTGCTCTCTCTTTCAGAATTATTATTTGTGAAATTAATGCGAGCGATCAAAGTTCTAACCACTAGATTATAGAGCGGAGATCATCACATCTGATTTATACTGCAACAGCTTCAATGCGAGGCGTGAACGCGGCTTATTGCATTACTGTCGTACTCTGCAACAGGGAGGACCGGGGTCAACCCCATCGACGCAATAGCCCGATGGCGAAGTAGCCAATAGCAATGATCGATAAAGCGCCCCTAATTAACCAGGTTCTGCCGCCAAATTGGAGCTTTGTTCTATCGGCGAAATTAATTGATTCTATCTATTCTATACCCATGCTCCATGGATAACGTTTGGCTGGCCGTTTCTCAGATAGCGAAGATTAGTTCGTCTTTAAAGCGAGCCGGTCAATGTCTGGAGCTTTGAGCCGAGTTGCATGAATGCTTTCCGTCTCTAAGTTCTCCTCAGGGGATCCTCGAACGTACCTCTCGTGAAACCCGCTCAAAGGATGAGTGGATGAAATATCAAACGCGATAAGATTAAGTAACTCTATATTCATGTATTATAATATTAACAACAAGATTAAAATATGTTGTTATCTCAGCGCGGCTGTTGTCGAATAAATACTCTTCATCGTTACACATCTTCTCTTATAGAGAACAATTTACAATAATCGTTGCGCGACAATCCGATTAAATACTTTTCGATTGCCCGACGGACAAAATTTATTTATGCATTGTGTACAATTGCTCATTCCTGTGTGCTTAAACAGGAAACGTAGCTCGACCACATTCGTGAGTAAATGCCATTGAGCTGATTATAACATACTGGAGTGAGCCTTCAAGGGTGGGGGAATGACCCAATTCATGGAAAAGGATGCATGTATGCTGTGTGGATCGCTATCTTTGTCAGAAATTCGCTAATTGGTTGAAATTATTATAGTATCATAATCAAACACATTGACTTCCTATGTATTTTACGCATTGAAAGAAAAATAAATAATTCACAATCATTTCCAATTTCATTGTTTAAATTGATAAATGAAACCAGGACATTTCCTGAAAGCTACGTATCGCTGTATCGCTTTTATTGCTAAATATCTGATGAGAGTTTTTAACTCAAGTAGTAATTGTAAAAAGAGGTAGAGATTTAATTAAAAATATATCTGTCTCTTTCTACTTTTGGTCCCGATTTTCTATAGGATAATATAGGGAAAGCTCACTACAGTATACTATAGAGTTCACTAACAAATGCTGTATGTAGACAACCATTCTCGCTTCCGGTTGACTACGATGCACAGAATGCGTATACGTATGCAGATTGCATACGCGGGCACGCTATGCACTCCACGTATGTATCAACTAGAGATCAATCCGGTTGCACCTCTTTCGTTTCACAAACGTGAGTCGAAAAGTATTTAATCTAATCGATAACATAAAACAAAAACTCGCAAACTCGAGTGACTGTTATTTATAATATGCCATTCAGCATCCAGGAATATCCTAAAAGGTCAAAAACTATTTTAAAGTCCAATCATTATATCATTCGTGCACACAATTACGAGTATCTGGCATAAATTAACGAGGATCGAATAAAATAAAAATAGAAATGTAAAAAAACGTGGATTCTTGTCACGATAAAATAAAGATAAAATCATCTCGTATTCTCTATAAATCATAATTTTGCTTGCAGAAATTGTTTGGTCGGTAAGGCTTATCATATCAAAATCTCGGACTTCGGCACGGACAATGAACTGTACGCTTGCGATTACTACAAAGTCGATGGAACTATGCCGTTGCCGGTACGATGGATGGCTTGGGAGTCAATATTTCTGGTAAGTTATACGATTTTATCTCTACGATGTGTCGGATATCGAGATATAACAATTTATTCAAGTGAAACAACCGTAAACCGTGCGTCAAAATACAATAACATGAATTGCATCTAATTTTCAGGGAAAATACACGACCAAGAGCGATGTGTGGGCTTTCGCAGTTACTCTCTGGGAGATTTTGAACCTCGGCAGACGCGTCCCTTACGAGCACCTGTCCGACGAAGAAGTGGTGCAGAGCCTGCGGCAACTGCATCACGCCGCCGATTGCAACAACGTTAATCCCGAAGATGACTGCAAGGAGGATTCTGGAAATGTCTTTGATTATCTACCGCGACCAACTGCCTCCTCCAAGGACATCTACGATCTGATGCTCGAATGCTGGCGACGAGAGGAGAACGAGAGACCGACTTTCCGTGAAATATCGCTCTTTCTGCAGCGTAAAAATCTTGGATACGCTCCAACATCCTGATATTGAGCCCCGAACTTGAGCAAGCGCGACGTTTTTAATAATCATCCCGCGAATCGGAACAAGTTCGGTTCTGAAACGGGTCGACGAGCGTGCAGGCAATGTCCTCATTCGAAGAATTGCAAGGAGCGAACGACGAGTGAGTGAGAACGACTGGCGAAAAAAAAAAAAAAGAAAGATGATAGCGTGAAAAGAAGACAAATATATATCACGACATCGAAAAGATAAGTACAACGATGGAATTTTATTGCCTGTCAACGAAACGGGACTGGGATTTGAAGTTTTATGACAGAAATCGATCGTCCTTCAATTTTATTTCGATTTACATTTTTTTTTTTTCGCGGAGTAATAATGCGTGTAATAACGGACAGAAAATAAAGTTAGAATAGATAGAAGAGGAGTAAACGCGAGAGTCGATGATTCACTATACCGGAACTCATCATAAACGAATCATTCGAGCTATCGCGTGCCTCCGCAAATACGAGACTGATGCTCCGTGAAAAAATTATTATTAACGAAAGTGCATATCTTATCGATCTAGAGCCCGACGTCGCGAGAATGTGACATCGGATCTCGACGCGAGTACTCGCGACAGTATTGTGCAACGATCTATATAGCGAAATAAGCGTAGAATTCTTTCTCGAATGTAAAGAAAGGCAAAGACGGATACGAATCTGTGAATACGACAATCGGACGAGAGCAGAATAAAAACTAACTCATCGTAGATAGCCGCTCTGTGGAGAATCTCCGATGCTATCGAGAGAGACGGATGTTTGCGAGATCGTTGAAGAAAATCGTCTCGCAATCGTCGAGAACTTAGGAGCAATACCATATAACTGTAATACAGCTGTGAACATTCCTGCACGGGTGGGTACCTACACTAGGCGCGACAATTACGCGAATAGGAAGGGGATCGTTACTTAAGAAGAATAATATTAGGATTCCTTCGGGATTATATCATTTCGATTAAGGGTTTAATGCAAAAATGTGAATCACATCGACGTACGGCAATATAGCAGCTACGATATTAGACGCTAGAACAACTGTTCGAGTTAATCGTAAAGCATTATAACTGACAATGAGTGTGTTTTATGAACGTGTGGGTGCCTATTTTCTCCTTTTCTCTCTCCCTCTCTTTTACTCTCCTTGAAAACGTATATTATATCGCCCAAATATTTTGAACCTACTTGTGAGATGAATCTACATGTGATTTACATCGCGAAATTCTTTATCGTCACGAAACATATCGCGAAACGACGAGTGATTATCGTGTAGTAATAACGTTATCTCTCTCTCTCTCTCTTTTTCTGTCTCTCTTCGATGATGAAGAAATTAATCGTCTTTTTCTAATGCTATTTTTTGTTTGTGAACAGATCCGTGTGAAATGTAGCATATGAGAATACTTAAATAACTTCAAAGACAGCCAGAAATGACTGTAAAGATTTCTCGATAATACATGTTTATTCGAACGATATCACTAATTGCAATCGCAGTTAACTACTTGTATGTGAGTGGGATTCGTTAATATTAGAACACTAGACGAATTATCGTAAGTTGTAAACGCAAGTAGACGAAGAGTAATTTTACCTATTCTGCATTAAAAGACGGTTATAGACTACGTATCATGTGACTACGACACATCATAATTGTAACTTTATATGATAGGCGGGATCAATGAAATTAGGATATTGTACAGATAGGCGTACCGTAGTAAGGAACGTTATCATTGCATTTTTCGGGAATGATGAATGAAATTAAACGGACAGAAAAATCGAGCTGTCCTTCTCTGAAAGCGTTATACATTCGCTTGCAATTTAACATTAATGTGAAAACGTACGGGAATTGTTTAACTTCCGACAAAATGTTCGTAATGAGGTAATAAGTTAACGAGTTCAACCTATCGGAATGTTTTTTTTCTTAAAAATAAAAAAAAAAATAAAAGAAAGCACGAAGAGAAGATAGAAAGTAGCCATAATCAGCGTTTTAAACTTGAAAATTAACAATGAACTCGCCGTATCATTATCTCCATCGTACATACTCGACTCCGATAATTTCTCTTAATCGACTTTTAAGTTCCGCGTATTTATATACCAGATGGATACTATTATAACTTATATGCGACATTTAGCGAATAGGCGCGATGTTACCGTTATATCATTAAAAAATACTATTTATATAAATTAAAATGTACTGCCGCATAAGGAGTAGATGATACGGAGGCATAGCCATATGTAGTTAAAATACGCGTTGAATTTAAACGTAACTGGAATTGCTTCTATATCACCGAGATCAAGATGTCTTAAGGGGAAAAAAAAAAAAAAAAAAAAAAAAAAAAATTACGGTCAATGCAAAATTCAATTCATATGGATTACGAGGTAATAGAGATAGGCAATTTTTGATCTTGTCAGAGGTAAATAGTAATAGCTCATCGATTATGCATTAAGTGTAAACATTCTAAGTGCGTAATTTAAATTTTGTATAAAAGCGCCGGTCAACAGATATATAATTTCGTGTCATCGCGAAATTTTGGCCAATCCATTTTTCGCACCGCGCGATTGTGACTGAGTTGAAACAATAATACCTATTGTCGATACAATTTTAGTCCGAATCAGACTGCCATTACTTTTAGAATGATAATAGAAAGAATGAATTGTAGTTGCGTTTAGATTCGCCAATACAAGCATAACGCTGCCTTTGGCTATATTGTTGCCCCTTACTGCTAACGAGTAACTTACTTGTCTACTCATGTGATAATTTAGTATATTCCTACGTACCTATCTCTCTGTACCTACCAATTCGAAAATCTTGCTAGCGAAAGGATTATTCGAATATATCTTATTTTTATTATAAATCATAATTCAGATAAAAGATCAGATAATATTTGTTTAATTTTCTTTAAGAAAAGATTGAAATGCAAAATAATTATAAAAAAGACATAAAGACTTTTTACGTTAACATCTAGCAGTTTCATATTTATACCATAAATCTACCTTACACAGTTGCTCCATAATTTACTGCAAATCAAACGTTGGGGAAAGAAGTGAGCAATATGAAATAAAATGCAAACAAAACATACTTAATCCTTTCTCTATGTAAAGATTTGCTATTATGATATAGATAACTTATTTCTACCTAGCGTGCCCTTTTTCCAATGATAATTAATTATATCCTTTAAACAAATCGAGCTCTATCAATGGCATCACTGAGGTAACCATACAATATCAGAAACGAGTAATAATCGGATATTTTGTTCGAGCATTGTAAAGTATATACGAACACGCTAGATTGATAGAAAATTTCATTTCTCTTAAAGGCCTTACGTGTTAATAAGCTCAATTTTAATTGCAGCGATATCTCTAAATCCTTATCACGACACCGCTAATTCCTTCGATATATATTTTTAAACGCGTATGATCGACAATCACGCTTGCGCCTCGGAATTTTAGAAAATATTTTTAGCACTAATCGCGACTTTCTTGAAACTATAATCGACAGAATTGGCATTTCATAATTATTTTCATAATTATTATAAACATGATCTCTTTATAAAACAACCTGATTTTCATCAGTCAAACATAATTTTAATATAATTATATAATTCTATTAGCGCAAAGAGAAAAAAGACGAAAAAGATATTGTGCTTTTTATATATATAACATAGCCTAATAATATGCCAATTCATGAAAGAGAGATAGTTTGCACGATCCGATAATCATGTTTTCAGGACAAAAATGAACATTGTAATTCCATTAATAATGATATATTAATATCGTGCAGTATCACGATTAATATCATGTATTCGTATATCGTATACGACCGTCATGTTTAATTTGAAAATTATTTCATAGTTTCACAATGACTACATCGTACAAAGTAATATCACTACGGCTAAAGATCGTGGCAATGAAATTAATATACAATCGTTGTATGAATATTTTGTTCACGCGAACACACATGAGAAATATGATTTCGATATACCTGATTGTTGACCTCTATGTTGGAATATCGAGGAGTCTACAGGTAATCGTGGGAAAACTGGGAAGAGCTCATCTAGTTATATCTTCTATCTAGGTATGGGCAACGCACGGCCATATCACTCGACTCGGCCATATTTTACATTATATTTTTTTGTATGAACAAACATTTCCTTCTTAAAAATTACCCGATAAACGAAAGTGTATGTAGAGATTGAATTAAAATCGACAAAATTATTCGATCTTTAATAAGAAATGAGAACTACAACGAAACTGACCACCGGCCACGATGAGTTGCCCATGCCTGTTGTACGCTATCGAACCTTGATCGTTATAGTCATAAAATTATTTTGTACTAAGAACTGTTTATAATTTTGTATCTAATCTCTGTAAATATCAAGCAGATTGTCTATGAGTAATAAAGCTTGAACAAACTCGATTTAAGTAGACTATATATAAACGGGGAAAAAATATATATATAAATACAAGTATTTATAATATATCTATATATTTTAATTAGTCGTATAAGGCAGCAATCGCGAAGAGATGTAAGTAAATTTTGCGTGTAAGCGCGGATCGGTAACGTAACAATGTACAACGATCTAGGAATTATTTGTATAATATAAAGATAATTAAGGGACAAATCATAAAAGTATACATGTTACTCAGTAGTCGTGTGTGTATGTGTGTGTATATATACATACATCATATATACATATATGTATATGTATATATGTATATATATACACTGTACATTTAGAAATTAACTAGTCATGTATGGCACTTTATAACGATTAAAGTGTATCCCTGACACGGAAATGCAACGTGTGCTGTTCTTTGATTATTCTCGCTTTAATATAAATGAGAAAAGATGCAATAGTCTATTAATACAATCAGATAAATTAATGCAATCAGATAAAAAATCAAACTTCGAAAACAAATTATCAATTTCATTAATTTTGCCAGAAACTTATTAAATTCGATCAATCGCTGCGTATATAGTGTGAACAAATTTTATCAAAATCGTCAATTGTGCGTCATAGAGAGACTTAAACGCATCTTTTATATAAGTCACACATGTATCTCATAAAAAAAAGAAAGAAAAACCCAACATGCCACGTGTAAGTTCTATTATCCATTATTCATAAAGCATAATGATAAAATCTATTTATATTGGACAGTGGAATGAAAAGTTATACTATTTATTTCATGAAAATATCCTATCACCCCATACACACTCTCTCTCTCTCTCTTCTTACACTGCATATGGTCCTATTGCAATAATCAATAATCGTGCACTAAAATATATGCATACAAGAATAGTTTTTCTTTTAAAAAGCAAATAAGATAATCAGAAAAAGATTTTTCCCATACAATTTGTTTCCGTTATTATTTATTTCTCTTATTATTATTCAGATATGCTTATATTGGTACAAGGTATATACCTCGTCGGTGGTTCACACTACTTCTTTCACTAGCATAATATCTGTTGAAAGAGGGCATCACGATAGATTTCCAAGCTACGCAACTCCCATACGCGACTAGCAAGTCTTTCGTACTATATATTCCGTCAATGTTTATGTGAATGAAGTCTCGTGTATCAATGACATTATGACATATATCTATTAAATTGTTGAAAAAATCTGGTTACTATAATGAACCGGAGAAGTAATAATCTTATGAATATTATACATGAATCAAAAAAATAAATATGGGAAAAGTATGAATATACAAGGTTAAATAATTATAAAGTGAGAATTGAATAAGAATTTATGCATATGATGCATATATAAAATTTGATAATAAATATACGAAACGAAATAACTATCAAAACCATCAAAAAAGAAAAAAAGAAAAAATTGAATACTGTTCTACATATATTTCTTTGTTCTAAATGTAGAATTATTGTAATATTCAGATTTGTAATCAAGATTACAACATATTTTTTTTTGATTTTACAGATATATCTTCCATGTATACCATAATTTTTTAAATTTTCTGACATGATTGATATAGACATAGACATGTTTTATATTATACCTCCAAATGGAGAGATACCTTTTCATATTTTGGAAGATTGCATTCTGACTAGATTAGATTATTTACGACATCTATATGAAGGATCTACCAATAAATTTGATGGAAACTTTGAATATTTACTAGAAAATTCTACTTACGATAAAATTGCACATTTTGTATTACGGTAAGTACATATCAATTAATATAATTTCTATACAGAAAGACGGAGAAAGAAAATCTCCAAATATAATAAATATTTAAAAAATAGTAAATAACATATATACATACTATAAAAACTTTATATTAAAAGAATTGATTATAAATTATAAATGATCATAAAATCCATGTTTCTAATAATTTGCTATTTTTGTTTTAGGTTATTAGCTTGTGCATCGTCAGATTTACATTTATACTGGATAACCAAAGAATCATTGTTATTTAGACATAGATTAGATAATATATTACCTAGACAACTACACAGATTATTGAAACAAATTATATGGAAGATGCAAATATTTAAAAATGAAAAGACTGCAACTGAAATAACTCTGATTGAGTTATGCAAATTCTACTTGCAACCTTTAATTTTTAAACATCTAGTATCAAATTGTCATGATTGCACTGATTTTCAATATGAAAGTGAGTATTATAATATATAAACTGTTTCTATGTAGTTTATATAATACTTTTTTTTATTTTTTTTTTTCAGTAAGATTTGAACTGATTCCAAACTTGTTAAAAGAAAGAGAATTAATTATTAAAAATGGAAATGTTATTACATATTGTTCAAACTGGAAAAAAGTACTTCAATCATTATTTTGTAATTATGTAATGAATGAACTGAATATCATGAGGAAACAAGCACTACAGACCATAAAACATGATCTTAGATTTCATATTTTAAATCAAAAAGTTCAATCGTATCTTTTCAAGAAAAATGCTGCTCATGGAAACATAACTATTGATAACATAGACGCAAAAGCACAAAAATTTCCCTTATGTATGCAACATTTACATTCTGTGTTAAGAAGCAGACATCGTCTTAGTCATTATGCTCGCTTATACTATAGCCTTTTTCTAAAAGAAATTGGGATGGAATTAGAAGATTCAATCATATTTTGGAAGCAAGAATATTCCAAGCCACATACTTGTTCTTCAATATGTTCACATAATTGGCAATCAAATGAAAAAAAATTCATATATAGCATTAGACATATGTATGGTTTAGAAGGATCTCGAAGAAATTATAAGACACCTGACTGTAATTTAATTTGTGTAAGTATAAAAATTTCATAAAATCTTTTCTAACTCAAAAGCTTTACATATGTAAAGCTGCCAAATATATTAAAACAGAAATAGTTCCTTTTTAGTAAAAAAATAGAACTATTCTTTCAAAAAAGGTCTTTTTTTTTTTAAATTGAAACTATATTGCAGGGTGGTATTAGTGCAATGTACGAAGGTGGTTGTCCTTTCAAAGATTTTAATGTGGATACACTCAAAAATCTTTTACACACTTCATTAACTGAAGATGAAGCAGACAGACTTATAAATAACATGTCTAGTAAAAGTCCAGAAGTTCTTTGCAGCGCTTTTTTGAGACTTTTATGCAAAGACAGTATTGATAATGGTATTATTAAAAGTCCGATAGAATATTATCACAGAATAAATGATTAAATATTTGTGTCCTATTGATAAATCTGTATAATAATTTGTACTATCTATTCTTGCTGATATTTTAAATTAATACTTGTATATTATCAAAAAATTTCATCAAGATAGAAATTTTGTCAATAAATCTTTTGTAAATATTATTAAAAAGAAAGATGCAGCTAATTTATACATAATAAATT